TTTTTTAAACATATTTGTTTTTATAAGCATGAGCTATGCAAAGCACACATGTCACAGTGCCCTGTGCCCTCCCTGCAGAAGCACTCGCCGGAGTGGAAGCCCGAGATCCGGCTGCCGTCGGGCAGCGACCACGTCATGCTGAAGTCTCTGGACTGGAACGCGGACTACGAGGTGTACGTGGTGGCCGAGAACCAGCAGGGCAAGTCCAAGCCCGCGCACTACGCCTTCCGCACCTCGGCGCAGCCCACCGCCATCCCAGGTAGGGCTGCCGTGCCCGGGCGCTGCCCGCTGCTGCCCGGGCGCTGCCCGCTGCTGCCCGGGCGCTGCCCGCTGCCCGTGCCCCAGCCCCGCCTCGCTTGCTTGTAGCCCTTCTCTCACGGCGGAGGGCTGCCCTGGGGCACGACTGCGGGGCTGCTCCCCTGCCTGGCTGCTCCCAGGGGATGTCGGCTCCCTGTGTGGGGTAGGAAAAGCTTTCTGAGAGCAGAGGCTGGAATTCTCCTTCCGAACCTCCCGCTCTGCAGGGCGATGCTTTGCCCAAATCTCCTTCCTGCCCGCTTGTCCGTCTCTGGAGGAATAAAGGCACCAGGAGTTTGCTGGCAGTTGGATGAGAAGGCAGTGAAAAATCTCTCTCTGAGCATTTTTCAGTTCAAATCACCAAATGACAGTAATTTTCCAACAGCAACGATTCAATGTTGAGGAGGAGATTAGGTATAAATAACTCAAAGGATAACTTTAGACAGACTATACTTACTAGTGTGCTCATAAAGTGAGGGATAAGGACAATTACTTATGCCTCACTTTATATGACAATTACAATTACTGCAAAAGCCAAGCAGAACTCTCAGCTGGGAAACTGGAACTGAGCAGTTTGTGGCGATCTGTTGGAAGGACAGCTAGGATCTCTTTTCTACACGTGGACATTTTTAAAAAAGGAGGGGGGAAACCCACACAAAGCAAGCAGAACCTGAGGATGGGATGGCTGGAGTAGCTGTAAATTGAAGCTGTGGTGGTTAAAGACAGGGATGCTGAGTCAAGGCCTCCCTGCACAGGCAGGGTTGGTGCTGCCAGCCTGTCCTGAAGGATTTCATTCTGTCTCATGTTTTCCCTTGAAAGCAGAGAGTTTCCTTCAGTCTTTGCCCAAGAATTCAGTCCCTGCTCTGCTCTTCTGAGCCCGTTTCCTGGCTGGAGGGAGCAGCTCAGACCTTGTGGGAATGCTGCAGTCCCCCTTGGCTGAGGCACGTGTTATTGCTGAGCACAGAAATGGGTGAAAAAGTGGGAAAAGTGGGACTGGCAGTGAGGAGGAGGGAGATGGGCCAAAGGAGAGCCCGGGGCTGCTTGAACATGGCGTAATTTTGGGTGGAAGGACCCTCAGTAACTCACTAAACATCTCACTCTGTGGTTCTCATTTTCAACAGCTCTAACCCTCGCTTCCGCTCTGATCCCTTTCAATCCATGTAACATGAGCAAGAACCCTCTAAAAAACAGGGGCAAGGCAGTTTGTTACCAGAGGTGAAACTTCTCTGGCCTCTCTGAAGTTTTTCCTTGCTTAGCTTGGTGTGAAGCCCAGGAGGAGCTGGGATCTGAGGCTGCCACCCAAATGTTGCAGGTGGAAAAGCAGTTTTTGGGCGTGCAGGGTTACCCCAGGAATTCAGCTGGTCCTCAGAACGTGCTGTGTCTTTGTGCAGTGCTGGCTTTGTCACTCTTTTCTCCCAGTTTTTTGTCATTTTGGCCTCCCAAAGGCATTCCCTGGTGCCCAGGCTGGAAGCACTGAGGAGAATATTGCCAGGGCCAGGTTGGTTTTGGCTCTGCCATGCAGCCCCACGGGTTTTATTGCCAAACTGCAGCAGGGGAGAGGCTCTGTGTGTTCCTTTCCTTTCCTTTCCTTGTTGTTCCCGTGGCATTTCTGTGTTTTTACCTCAGAATGAGCTGTGCAGGAGGCAGAGCCAGCGCTGTAGCAGGAATTGTGCTGTGCCTGACAGCAACAACCAGGGATTCCCTGCAGCAAAATGTGCATTTATTGTGTGGAGTCTTTTGTTCCCCTCACCTGTGCAGAGGCCTGAGTGGCTGGAAGGATAAGGGTGTTATTTTCAGTAATAATAACAACAACAATAATAATAATAACAACAATCATCACACTGCCATTGGAGTGGTTGCCAAGCAGCTGGGAGGGTGAATGGCAAAGTCAGAGGATTCCTGAGACCTTGGTGCTCCTTCAGGATAAAAGTGGATTTTTTATCCAGGCTTTGGGGAAGGGCTTGGACAGGCAAGTGGATTCTCAGCTGCACCAAAGCTTTCCCTGTTTTCCTTTTTTCCCTGCTGAAGGCAGCGTTGTGCTCTCAGACTCCAGGCACCATCTCCCTGTCTCTCACTGAGCCCCTCCTGTCCCATCATTTTAATCTCATTTGCTTGCAAACCCCACCCCTGCCTTGGACCCTGCTCTGCAGCTTTGGGCTTTGCTGAGCTTCTGCCCCTTTTGTGGTGAATGTGCTGCTCCTTGACCCCTGAGCCATTTTAATTTACGAGATTAAATAAACCTTTGATTCTTATGTTTTCTGTATTTATGACCTAATTTTTTTTATCTATTTTTCTCTCTCTTTCTCTCTCTCTTTTTCTTTCTTTTTTTCTTCCTCTCTTCCTTTCTTTCCCTCCCCCCCCTCTCCCTTTTCCCCCAATTCCTTTTCCTATGTCTGTCATCCATGGTCACCTTGGATCTCACGGGGAACATCCACGCTTGCCACATGCACCAAATTTGTTTTTATGGTTTTAAACCATATTCCCCCCTCCTGGGAACCATTGTCTGGCACCTGCAGCGACCTTGGGAAGTCCATCAACGTCGTCCTCCTTTGTCTCATTGCTTCTTTCTGCAGTGACTCTGCTTTTGCTCTGTTAGAAGCTTAAAAAAAAAAAAAAAAAGAGTCAAATAAAGCAATATTTGCTTGGGAAGGCCTGGGTTCCCACCAAGGTGTGAAAGGAGATAACTTTGCTTCAGAGGATCGTGTCAGTTCAGAGAAAAAAAAAAAAAAAGAAACACAGAACACTTTAAAAAATGTTTAATTTGAAAGAGTCAGTATTTTGTAACAAGGAAAAAAGGTTTAAGCCAAGTTTTTTCTCTTTAACCTTATTTTTTGTTGTAATGAATTTGCCCTTTTAAATGGATGTAAAGAAAGATTTTTTTTTTGTGTTGTTTGCTTGCTGTTTCCATCAAAGGAAGGTGCAATGTTGAAAGCCTTTAAGATCCTGCTTTTTACTGATTTCTCTGCACATCTGGTGCTGCTCTTGCGCAGAAGGAGGCCCCGTCCACAAACCCAAGCCCACAGACTGTAAAAAGAAAGAGAAGATTTGTCAGAGACCATCTTACCCAGATCTCTCTGGGGGCTTTTGCATGTGGATTCCAATGTCTGGAAGGTTTTCCTGCCGTGCTGCTCTGGCCATAAACATCTGCTGGGATCACACTGGGGGCACTGCTGCTTTTCCTTCTTCTCCTCCTGTGCAGATTGCTCCTGGCCCACGGGGGAGCTGGGCACAGCCCATGGGCACACACCTTGCCAGGGCTTCTCTAACCCCCTGGATTTCCACTGCTGGCTTAGCACACAGTTCCCTTTCCTTGCTGTTCTAATAGAAAATCCTAGCTTGGCTCGAGTTAGCTGAGCAGCAGAGTTGTTATTGCTGATCCTTAATAATCCTCCTGGTTCACTGTGTGTGACAGGATTCACCCATGGGCTGAACTGCTGCAGTAGAATCTTGAGTACCAAATCCTGGGAACTGCCTTGAGCAAAATTCACATGATTTTTGTGTTGCTTCTTTGGAAAAAGAACTATTATTCCCCACCCAAAAAAAAAAAAAAACCACAAAAAACCCGACACAACAACCCCAATGAATCCGTTGGGATAGGAAATCCACTGGGATAGGAAATCCATCCGCCCTGATGCTCTCCTAAAATCAAGGTTCTCTCCCTTGAATTGTCTGCCCAGAATGTCTCAGACCCTCTGAGCAGGGTGGGGTTCACCTTCCTGACAGAATTCTCACAAGGACAAACAAACTCCTGCCCTCACTCGTGTCTGACTCTGCCTTTTCTGCTCTGCTGTGTTGGTTCAGACCTCGTTCTTCAGGAGTTGGGAACTTTTCTCTCTGGGTTGTAAATGCAAACTTGGGGCAGGTGTCACACACAAAAGCCTGTGGGTTTCCTTTTGTTTTTTTTACAAAACCCCCTCATTTCCAGTGTTGTAGAGTGTAGACACTTTGTTAGAGCTTTGGAGTTTGCTGAAGTGCAGCAAAATAACCCTGATACTAAAAACTGGTGTGACTTCCCCCCTAACTGGATTAATTGAGCTCATTGTAGAGCGGGGATCAGCTCTTTGTGGGTTTCCCCTTACCCACAGAGGCAGGTCCCTGCCTGAGGCTGAGCTGTTTCTCACCAAAATCACAGTTACTGAAATGATCTCTGTAACTTGGCGTGCTTGGTGTGGAGAGAGCAGCAAGTGTGGGGAGGGGGCTCCGTCCCAGGAGAGGGGCTCAGGCCAGGGCAGGATCCTCTGTGCCACAGCCCTGGCAAGCAGCTGAGACATCTTCACGTGGCTGAGATCCCAAACTCCACAGCAATCAGGAGCCCAGCCAGCATGGAACACAGGCAGAAAGTGCTTCTTGCTTTCTCTTGGTTAAAATAAGGAGCGTGACTGGGGCTTTTAGCACTGATTTGTGCAGGTTGGTAACACAGATCTGCAGCGAGTTGTATCAGAGATCTGCCAGGCCCTTGAGGTCTCATGTTCAGGGTCTCCGTGTGATGTGAGTAAAATGACATTAAATAGAGTTTTTAGAAAAGCCAGCTCAGAGAAGAGGCAGAGATTGAGGTCTGGAAGCAGAAGATGCTCAGACTCTGGGATTTCCATGCCACAGGCACCTGCAGTTCCTGTTTGTGTGTGAAGGGCTGCAGAGCCTTGCAGGATTCCCACAGTTTCTTGAAGCCTCTCCACATTCTCAGAGCTGTTTCTCAGAGCAGTGTTTGGCTGTTTTCATGGGCAGGAAGGTTTGGGAGCATCCTGCTCCTCCAGGAGCAGCTGCAGGTGTCTGCACCTCCAAGGTTCTGGGGGATAAAAAGAAGGTTTGATCTAAAAGGTTTTACAAACAGCTTCTCCTGGCTCTTGGAGCTGCTGGGGTGGGGTGGGCAGTGGGAGCAGGGATGTGATTCACTCCAGGAAAGAGGATTTTGGTGTCACTCTGTGTTCAGCCTGGAGAGGAGAAGCTTTGGGGTGAGCTAAGTGCCCCTTGCAGGAGCTGGCAGAAAAAGGGGAGAGAGATTATTTCCAGGGGATGGGGGCACAGGAATGGGGAGAATGGCTTCAAACGGCCAGAGGGCAGGGCTAGGTGGGATCTTGGGAAGGAAATCTTCCTTGTGAAGGTGCAGAGGGGCTGGGATGGAATTCCCAGAGGGCTGGAATTCCCAGAGGGATGGAATTCCCAGAGCAGCCGTGGCTGTTCCTGGCAGTGCCCAAGGCCAGGCTGGATGGGTTTGGAGCAGCCTGGGACAGTGGAAGGTGTCCCTGGACGTGGCAGGGGGTGGGATGGACGGGATTTAAGGTCCCTTCCACCCCAGACCATTCTGGGATTTGGTGATTCCCTGATACTCGGAGTCAGGCCCAGGGAACCAGCAGAGCTGGGATGCCACAAGGCAGCTCTGGGAAATGCCATTCCCTGCCCCAGCCCAGCTCCCCAGGCTGCTGGGAGCTCACTGCCAGGGGTGGGACCTGGATTTCTGTCCCTGGCAGAGCTGGGCACGCTGGCAGGGCAGGGTCCTCGTCCCCAGGGTGGGCTGGGCAGTGTCTGAGGAAGCAGCCCTGTGAAACCTCCTGCAAAGGGAGCTCCACCTGGGAGCAGAGAGCTGTTCTGGCTGCACAGAGTGCATTTTTGTTCAGTTTGGCCCTTCTTCTTGCTTTTGCCAAATCCTGTAGGGCCTTTGAAATGCCCAGAGCCCCACCTGCTTCTTTCTCTCCATCCTTTTTGTCTCTTTGCCTGTGCCTGGACATTGTGTAGCTGAGACCCCCCTAGGAAGACACAGCTGAGCTCTCTCTGACAGGGCAGTTTTTGTACAGAAATTAAAACTGCTGGGTGGTTTTCCTGTGCACTGTAAAATGAGGGGGATTAGAAAAGCCAGTCTCGCAGGAAGCTCATTTTCCATTGGAAAACATAATTTGTAATTAATAAATTCTTCACTTCTGTAGAATTAAGGACTCCAGAAGTTCTTGAATGGTTTGTGTTTCCTTATTTAACTGGTGGAAATGTTACTCCTCTTAGTCCTGAGAATGGCAAAAGGGGATTAATGGAAGGGTTGGATGTGGATCAGGTCAGAATTGTCCAAATCAATTTATTGCATTTATTTCATACACACAGTGCGAGCAGCTGCTCCACAGCCCATTTATTTATACATTTCTTTTGTACACAGAGTTGTTTTAGGCCCCAGCAAAGCCTTTAGGGATGTCTAAATATTAGTTTCATTAAATGCAACATAAATCCAGCTACAGGATGGAGATAATGGTTCTACAAAGTATTTGGAGATCAATTTAATTTAATCAGATGGGACAGTCTGTGAAAAGAATAATCTCCACTATGATTCCTGCATTTTGTAGGAGCAGCAAAATTTCTTTACAAGGAAAAGGAAGGGCAGAACCAAGAGCCTCCCAAGTCCATAGGGTCATGGAAGATTTTTGTATTATGTTTCCTCACTGCCAGTCCCTGGAAAGTTTGGGATATCAATCCATGCCATGAGTTAGGATTGATGAAACCACAACTAATGGAGAAGGTTCAAAAATTCCTGCAGATTGCAGGGCTCCCTTCCCAGCCTCGAGACCCAAACTGCAGGCAGTTACCTTGGCCCAGTTTCCTTGTCTGAGGTGTGACATCTCAGAATAGCACAAGAACAGGGACGTTCCTCTGCAGGCTGCCCTGGTTCCCCCAGCTCCATCCTCCTCCTCCTCCCGGGGCACAGGAGCAGGGCAGGGCTGCAGGGGAGAGCACGGGGGGAGGTTGGTACCTGCTCTGGGGGAGCACGGGGGTCTGTGCCTGTCACAGCTGGGATCTGGGGGGTGACAGCTCCGGGAAAAGCTGCAGGGGGAGAGGAGGCAAAGAGCAGCACTCTGGTGTGAGTGGAGTTTTCCAGGAGGGGAATATTCCAGCTCTGGAGGGAGGTCTGATCCCGGGATGCTCCCCTCAGGAGCTCCTGCCCACAGAGGGGTTCTGGATGGGGAGCGTGACGCAGCTCCAGGAGCACCTCAGTTATTGAATCATCCACCCGAGGGTCCTGAACACACCCAGAGGGGGAAATCCCTGCCCTCCCGACTCCCTGCAGGCTCCAGAGGGTGGTGAATTCACATCACCATGTGGGACAATGTTCTGCTCGCCAGGGGCTGGGCTTGTGATGCCAGTGCCACTCGGGTGCCTCACAGTGGCTTTTCTACACTTGTCCTGCTGGAAGCTTCATTCCTTGGTCCATCTCGGGGTCACAAAATGAAACAACACCTCTCTGCCTCCTGTTTTTAACCAGCCAGATGCGTGGCAGAGGCTGTGGCTCTGTCTGGAGTCCTGGGAAGGGTCCGAGTGGGACATCAAGGGGTTCTGCAGAGCAAAGATCCCAGGAGTTTGGGGCTCCAGGGGCTGGGGTGGTGAGAGTCTGGGGAGCCACGAGCAGGTTCTGCAGAGCTGGGTCCCACCTGAGCTCCAGGCAGGGCTTGAACTCAGTTTTACCCCCTCGGGGGCTCACCAGCACTGAGCATTCACCCAGGGATTCATATCCCACCAGGAAAAACCTTGCTGCAGAGCCTGGCCTTTGCTTCCACTGCTCCTTGGGCCAAGCCTGGGCCATGCCAGGGCCACGCTGGACCTTCCTTTTGAGGAGGAGGAGGAGGAGGAGGAGGAGGAGGGAAGCAGGAGCCCTGCCCTGTGTGCACAGCAGGGGTTCTGCTGTTTGCTTCCCCCAGCAGGGATGGGAAAAGCCCCAGCAGGGCCATCCTTTCAGGCAGGTTGCCTGTAGGATGAAGCACTGGTTGTTGCACAGGGTGCAGAGGGTGGACTTGTAAAAAAGCAACCTAAGTGCAGCCAAATCTAGAGCCCTGAAGCCCCAGATTTTAACCCGAACGCCTTCTCTTCTTCTCTCCCTCTGTCTCTGAAGCCAGCACTAGCCCTGCCGCGGGCCTGGGCACTGCTGCCATCATTGGCATCCTCGTGGTGGTCTTCGTGGCGCTGCTGGTGGCCGTGGACGTCACCTGCTACTTCCTGAACAAGTGCGGGCTGCTGATGTGCATCGCCGTCAACCTGTGCGGCAAGTCCGGCCCGGGGGCCAAGGGCAAGGACATGGAGGAGGGCAAGGCAGCCTTCTCGTGAGTACTGCCCCAGACCCCCCTCTGTGCCTGCAAAGGAGCTGCCCCAGCGAGGAGGGACCCTCAGCTCTGTGGGGAGGGGGCTGCCGCTCTGTTCGGGCTTGCAGGAAGGGTTTTGGAGTTGTTCCTCTGGGGGTTTTGTCTCCTTGTGTTGGTAGCCAACAAATAGGTGGCCTCAGTGCTGGGCACCCCAGATCTGGACATCCCAGTGCTGGACATCTCAGTCACCCCAATTCTGGACATCCCAGTCACCCTAGTGTTGGACATCCCAGTGCTGGACATCCCAGTCACCCCAGTGCTGGGCACCCCAGTTCTGGACATCCCAGTGCTGGACATCCCAGTTCTGGACATCCCAGTGCTGGACATCTCAGTCATCCCAGTGCTGGACATCCCAGTTCTGGACATCCCAGTCACCCCAGTGTTGATCACACCAGTTCTGGACATCCCAATTACCCCAGTGCTGGGCACCCCAGTGGTGGACACCCCAGTTCTGGGCATGTCAGTGCTGGTCACCCCAGTTCTGGGCACCCCGGTCATCCCCAGTGCTGGGCACCCCAGTTCTGGGGACCCCACTCATCCCAGTGCTGATCACCCCAGTGCTGGTCACCCCAGTTCTGGGCACCCCAGTCATCAACAGTGCTGGACACCCCAGTCACCCCAATTCCGGACACCCCAGTTCTGGCCACCCCAGTCACCCCAGCGCTGGGCAGCACCCGGAGCTCTGTCCAGGTCCTGGATGGAAGGAAGTGACCCCGGGAGCGCTCCGTGCCAGCCCCATGGCCGTGTGCCACCCTGGCCGTGTGCAGGCTGTCTGTGCAGGAGCAGCCATCACTCCCCATGCCATTCCCTCGTTGCAGGAAGGACGAGTCCAAGGAGCCCATCGTGGAGGTGCGGACGGAGGAGGAGAGGACCCCCAACCACGATGGGGGGAAGCACACGGAGCCCAACGAGACCACCCCGCTGACAGAGCCAGAGTATGTGGCCTTAGGCAGCCCTAGCACAGGGTCACTGCATTGCCCTCAGCTGCCCTAATCCCTCAGGAACACCAGTTAGGGCAGGAAGAGAGGAAGAAAGGTAAAATCTCCACGTGCCAGTGAGGCAGTGCCTCCTCTCAAGCTTCAGTGGTTGCTGTTCCCAGCACTGGAAGGGAAAGGGGAAGGAAGCAGTGTTTCCTGAAGGGCTCTGGGCCCTGTGGAGATCCAGCACAGTCAGGGCTCGCTGCAAAGGATCCCGAGCAGAAGCAGCCCCAGCTGGCAGCGAGCCCTGTCCCAGCAGTGCTGGCTGAGAGCCCGAAGCCATGGGGAGGGAGAGATCCTCCCCAGGAGCTGCCCTGGATGTGGAGTCACAGCAGGGCTGAGCGTTCTGAGAGAGCTGAGGGCTGGACGGGGCCCGAGTGTGCGTTGGTGTGCGAGAACAGAGTTGAGGTGTGAGGGGGCAGTGCAGGCCCTCAGACAGACCTGCAGCAGCAGGACAGGACGAGGAGAGGGGCCGGAGCCAGGGTCCCAGCTGGGACCGTGCTGTGCTGGTGGCAGGTGGCACGGGGCTGCAGGCTCGGGGGGTGGCAGAGCTGCCTGGAGAGGTCAGCAGAGACAGGCTGACAGGGGAGTTTAGGGGAGAAGAGTCTCTGCAAGCTGGCAGGATCCCATTTGCCTCAGCCCAAGCACTCCATTCCTGCCATTCCTGCAGGTCACGTCCTCTTGGCTTTTTTCTCCTCCTCAGCCATCCCAGCCCCGCTCCCTTTGCATGTGTGACCTCTGCACGTCTCTGCTCCTGAGTCCCTCTCCATGTCACGTGTGTGTGCTGTCCTCACTCTCCCTCTCTGCCCCCTCTCCCTGCTGTCGTTTCGGGCCTTCATTGTCTCTCTTTCTCTCTCTTTCTCCTCTCTCTCTCTCTCTCGTCCCCGTGTCCCCCTCGCAGGCACCCCGCCGACACCGCGGCCACCGTGGAGGACATGCTGCCTTCTGTCACCACGGGCACCACTAACTCTGACACTATCACTGAAACCTTTGCCACTGCCCAGAACAGCCCCACCAGCGAGACCACCACGCTGACCTCCAGCATTGCCCCGCCGGCCGCGGCCGCTCCCGACGCCAGCGCCGCCGGCTCCGGCCAGGCCACCCCGGCCAAAGGCACGGCCGCCGCCTCGGCGGCGTCGCCACCACCCTCCTCCACCCCCAGAGTGGCCCCTCTTGTTGATCTCAGCGACACCCCCAGCTCTGCTCCGGCCACCAGTAATTTATCGTCCAGCGTCCTGCCGGGGCAGGCCGTGCTCAGCCCTGTGGCCGACGCCGCCACCGCCGGGAGCAAGGCGGCCGCCCCCAGCCCTGCCGGCCTGACGAGCCCTGCGGCTCCCTCAGAGCCCAAGCAGGAGGTGGCCAAGAGCCCCGAGAAGGAGCCCGTGCAGCCCAGCACGGCGAAGAGCCCAGCAGAGACCCCCAAGAACCCGAGCAACGCCAAGAGCGAGGCTGCCTCGGGCAGCGCCGCCAACCCCTCGCAGAACGAGGACTTTAAAATGGACGAAGGGACCTTCAAGCCACCAGACATTGACCTTGCCAAGGATGTTTTTGCAGCTCTTGGCACTGCTACTCCTCCTGCTGCCAGCGGGGCTGGTGGGCAAGCCCCCGAGCCGGCTGCAGACAGCTCTGCCCCTGCAAAGACCGAGTACGGCCACCTTTACTCTTGTGTTGGTTGTGTGCTGTGTCCCTCGTGCCCTGGTGCTCGTGCTGTGTCCTCTGTTGGGTGTTCTCTTGACTAATCTCGCTGTTCCCTTAGCCCACCAACTCCCCCAAGAGCCCACGGGGCTTGGCCTGGAAGGTGCCAGGAGGAGAGCAGGAGTAGTGCCGGGGGGGCAGAGGAAGGGAAGCTGGGAATCGATCAGGGATGTGTTGTTCTTCAGGCTCTTGGGCAGCTTTGTCTGTCCTGGGTTATTCCTTCATAAGCAAGAGCAGAAATAGCCCAGTTTGGTGCAGAGAGCTCTCCTCACAGTGCTCAGTGAGCACAGCCCCCAAATCCCATCTCCTGCAGGTCAGAGGAGCCTCAGGGCTCACTCGGGGTCAGGCTGGGCAGCAAGCAGTGCCCTGTGGGAGGGTGACAGCACTGGAACCTCTGGAGTTGTCCTCAGGTTGGCAGGGAGGAGGCAGGAGCAGAATGAGCCTGGCTGAGAGAGGGGGGAGCACCCTGAGCTGGGCAGGAGAGAGAGAACAGCAGCTGGGGGCTGGGGGAGGGTCCCAGCTGTGCTGCAGATGTTGGACTCTGCCCGGGCTGCCAGTTGTCACCTCTGGGCTGTGAAAACATCTGTGGCAGAATTCCTGTCTTCTGTGTTCCCCTTTCTGCAGCAGCCCGGGGATTTCAGGACTGCCTTCCCATAGGAACACCAAGAAATGGGATTGCTGCTAGATTGTCAGGGAGTTGGGGTGCTGAAGCCAAATCCTTCTGCAGCTGTGCCAGGTTTCCTTGCTGCTCCTTTTTGCAGCGCTGCAGCTGAGCCCTGAGCCAGGCCAGGGCAGGAAAAGCCAAAAAAAGTTAGCGTAGACCTAAATGAAGCAGGGTGTGGGAGCTGAGCTCGGTTCTTAGTTCTGCCTCGGGAAATGCTGGTTTTGCTCTCCCAGAGATCCGTTCCCAGCCCAGCACTCTTTCCCTGGGGCTGTCTCGGCCCAGGCTGCCTGTCCGTGCCTCTAAACCCTGTCCTTGTGGTGCTTCTCCCCAGGAAAATGCCAGCAGAGGACAAAGGCGCCGTGCAGGACAGCAAGAGCCCCCCGGCAGAGGTGAAGACGGTGCCCAACGAAGCCACACAAACAAACGAGAGCGAGAGCAAAGCATGATCAGCACCGGCAGAGGGGACGGCAGAAACCTTCACCCGAGCATTGAAATCACAACCCACACACCCATCTCATTCCTCTAGTGTCTGTTGCCTTTTTTTAAAACAAAAACAAACAAACAAACCAGAAAAAAATGCATAAATGGGGGGAGGGAGGGAATGTCTCTGTTTTCCTTTTCTATTTTTTTTTTTCTTTTTGGTTTTGGCTTTTTTTTTTTTTTTTTTTTTTTTTTTTTTTTTTTTTTTTTTTTTGAGATTTCTAGGAAGGTTCTATTAGTTGTGCACTTGCTTTTAAAAAGTAAAACGTTAAAAACAGGGTTAAACCCATCACCAGATCAGGGCTCAGCTGGCCCTGTGTATATCCAAACAAGCAAACACTGCAATGCTTGGTTGCAGTGTGGTTGGGAAGCTCAAAATAAGCAGTCCTAGACAAAAAAAAAATCACAAAAAAGACAAAAAAAAAGAAAAGAGACCCTGTTGTTTCCTTTGTTAGTATAGCAGAGATAACCACTGTGCTGCTGGGCACAGCTGGTGCTTAAAGAACAAAGTCCACAATTTATTTTTATACTTTTCAGTCGAGTTTGAAATATGTAAAGCCTCATAAATAAGTTATCATTTCTGTTCACCTTGTATCTGGTCAGTATGCAAAGTGTCTCGAGCTCTTTGTGACTGAATCCTGCTCGCCACGTTAGACCTTTATTTGGGGTTTATTATTATTATTATTATTATTATCTATTTTTTAGGAAGAATGCCAAAATTGCAGCTTTGGGGGATGTATTTCAATTTGCAGTATTCAGACTCTACATTTCTTTTCCAATTTTACGCTCAAATTTTTCTGTTGTTTTTTTGTTTTGGCCAACTTTGGTTCTTTCCAGTGTTTACAATTGACAGATATTTTTTTAACTTTTGTTGTGTTGAAATGGATGTGTAAAATAGCTGCCTTTTTCTTTTCTTTTTTCTTTTTCTTTTTCTTTTTTTTTTTTTGGGTTTTTCAGTCAATCCAGTCCTGTAGACACTAGGGTAGCAGCATGCTTGCTTTGCAAAGGGAGACATTTTCAACCATGGATGTTTACAGTAGTCGTTTCCCCTTTTCTCTTTTCTTAATTATTGTTATTATTATTATTATTGTTATTATTATTATTATTATTTCTTACTGGAGTAAGAAGAAAAAAGCGATGCTGGGGTTCGGTTTGGGGTTTTTTTGGGGGGTGGGGGTGTTCAAACCAGTTGCCACCAGTCAAGGGCTTTCTCCAGCAACCAACCCCCAAATTTTGGGGTGAGGGGGGTGCTGGAGAAAATCCTTCTGGGCTTAAATTTAGTTTGGAGTCCCTCGCTGGGCCTGGGCCTGACTGCATAAGAGAAATCTCATCTCTGCTTTTTTGGGACATTCTCAATCCCTTTCCTTCACGGAGCCCTCCCGAGCTCTGAGGAGCACCAGGGAGGTCGGACAGTTTGGGCTGGTCTGCCTCGGGTGTGTGAGCAAATCCAATGCTGATTGTGGCAGAGAATTCCAGGTGCAGGAAATCCCCATTGCAGGAAATCCCAATTTCAGCAGTTCCCGTTTCGGGAAGTATCAGTGTCAGTAAACACCAATTTCAGAAATTACCGGTTTTGGCAAATTCCGGTTTTGGCAAATTCCACTTTTGGCAAATTCCACTTTTGGCAAATAATCAGTTTTGGCAAATTCCAGTTTTGGGAAATATCAGCGTCAGTAAACACCAATTTCAGAAATTACCAGTTTCGGCAAATTCCAGTTTCGGCAAATTCCAGTTTTGGCAAATTCCACTTTTGGCAAAGATCAGTTTCAGTAAACACCAATTTTAGAAAATAACAATTTCAGGAAATTCCAATTTCAGCAGATTCCAAGATCAGAAAATTCCAGTTTTGGCAAATATCAGTTTCAGTAAACACCAATTTCAGAAAATTCCAGTTTTGGAAAATACCAGTTTCAGAAAATATCCATTTCAGAAAATCCCAATTCCAGTAAATTCCAATTTCAGCAAATTCCAGTTCCAGAAAATAACAGTTTCAGTAAACACCAGTTTCAGTAAACAACAATTTCAGAAAATCCCGATTTCAGTAAATCCCAATTTCTGTAAATACCATGTCCTCTGACCCTAAAACTAAAGCCCAGGAACAAATTTTTTTTTCCCCCAAAGATGCTGGGCAGGTTCCAGACCCTTCCTGCAGGTGCAGCTCCAGCAGGAGCTCCCTGGGACCCTCGTGGGATATCCTGGGCATCCTGCAGAGCTGGGCAAGGGCTGAGAAAATTAAATTATGGAAAAAATCAAATTATGGATGGAGGGGAGCTGATCAATGGGATTTATTACCAGGAACCGTGGAGCAACACTGAGATTTGGGGTGGGGGAGCTGATTAATGGGATTCGTTACCAGGAATTGTGGAGCAACACTGACATTTGGGGTTGGGGAGATGATTAATGGGATTTTTTATCAGGAATTGTGGAGCAACACTGAGATTTGGGGGTGAAAAGGAGCTTTGAGCAGAAGGAAGGCAGAGGAGTGTAGGGAGAGACCAGCCCATTGTATAGAGATATTCTTCCTGTTGGGGTTTTGGGTATTATTTCCTTTTTTTTTTTAAATTTTTATTTTATTTTATTTTCCCTTTTTTTTTTTTTTTTTTTTTTTTTTTTTTTTTTTTTTTTTTTTTTTTTTTTTTTTTTTTTTTAATTCTACTTTAGATCTGCAAGCTTGTGCACTGTGGGTGCGTGACTATTTTAGTGTGAACCGTGTTTTTTGTCATAGTATTGAAATAATAAAAGCTTCAACATAGTTTGGATGTGGAAGGTGTAGCGCTAGTTCAGATTTGAGAAACAAAAATAAAAAAATATTCAGGAATTAAAATAATTTAAAATGGAAAGAGAACAACTCTTAGAGAGAGCAGAAGCTATTCCATGAGAGAAGCAGGCCGAGGTGACTCGGAAGGAGGAGGGGTGTGGGGGCTGTGTCCTTGTGTTCCTTGGGAATATTCGCTCTGTTCCAGTGGCATCCCACCATTCCCAGCTGTGAGAAAATGCTCTTGCCATGTGCTGGCTCTGGGGTTTTCTGCATTTTGTTTCGCTCAGCTCCTGGGGTGCACGGGGGCAGGATTTTGGGCAGGATGGAACCTCACCCCAAACCCAGCCCCTGCGTGAGCCGTCACAGCAGTGTCACTGACTCTGGGGACCTTGGTCCCGAGGATTCCTTTCTTTTCCCAGGAAATGAATCCATGAAGGCAGCTGGGCAGCAGCGGTGCCTCCATCCCACAGTTTGTCCCTTTTTGGTGCCTCCGTCCCACCGTTTGTCCCTTTTTGTGCCGAATTCGGGCTGGGTTTGTCACCTGTGTGCTGTAACCCCCAAAGCTGGTAGGAAACAGCACCGACCCCAAAACCTGCCCAGGGACCCCCAGCAGCACCTGCCAGCTGGGCTTGGGGGAGCTGCCCCACCTGGATTGTTGTTTTTGTCCCAAAAGGGGACGAGCTCAGAGCCCAGCCCAACGCCCGGTGACAGTCTGGGGGTGGCACTGCCTGGGCGTGAAGGTCCCTTCTAGCCCAAAGCTCTGCTTTTTTTGGGGTAGAAGCTCTGCTTTGGGATGGATGGATGAAGTTCCTTCCCTCCCCACACCTGGGCTGGGCTCCCATCGCCCCCAACAGCCAAGAATTCCAGCTTCCATCTCCACCTGCCCCGATCCCAGCCAGCTGCAGCCTCAGGGCTGGGATCTGTCCCCTCGGGGGGACCACCTGAGGGTGGTGGCACTGCCGTGGCTGCTCTGGGGTCGGTGGCACTGCTGTGACCCTGTGTGCCCATCCCCAGGGTTGGTGGCACTGCTGTGGATCTGTGTTTCCATCTCCAGGGTTGGTGGCACTGCTGTGGTTCCATGTGCCCATCCCTGGAGTTGGTGGCACTGCCATGGCTCAGTGTGTCCATCCCCAGGGTCGGTGGCACTGCTGTCAATCCCAAGGTTTGGTGGCACTGCTGTCTATCCCTGGGGTTGGTGGCACTGCTGTCCATCCCCAGGGTTGCTGGCAGTGCTGTGGCTCTGTGCCCATCCCAG